AAATTGTCTAGGTGCTAACTCAATGGGTACTATTAAATATTGTCCAATTATTCCTGTCTCTCCATAAATTCATTTGAAATTGTACTTGGAGGCGGATTTGTATTATTGCATAAGGATTTTCGTCTGCATAAATGTGAAGATTATGTAAGTTAATGTACAAAATTCTACCGTTGCGGGTTCATCATTAGCGCTTAAACCATGTACTCTTTGCAGGTGGTATGGATGGAGCAGTATCTCTTGAAAAATGGTGTTTACTGTTCATTTGGAAACTTGAAATTCTCGAGCTATATTTCTAACCCCAACTGTAGGATTTTCAGACAGCATCTAAAACATTTTCTTCAACTTCAGTTGTACGTACAGTTCTGGGAACTCCACTATGTCATCTCATATTTTGAGCAAAACTACCTAAAATCCAAATGGTTTTTACTACTCAAAATAAGGCTATAATAATTTCTTACCAGTTTCTCGTAACCACTGATCGATTTGTTGGAAAGTCTTTAAATTAGGCAGGGTAGCAAAAAAAAGTTATGATAAGCTATTCACCGAGATAGTGCTGTAAGTGGCGCTCTCTAGAATTTTGGCCATAAAAAATAACGGATTCCTGTTTTTTATACTAGAAGACCTCCCTGTACCAAGTTTTATGCTAAAATCTGAAATACTTCTCCAGCAATCAGGAAAAATAGAAAATAGAATTGTAACTTTGACGCCCTGTATCTCGCAAACTATCAACTTTTGGGCTGAGGTATGTTTAGGTCCATTCACATATTTTGGTCTGTAGTATCTCCAGTTTAGAGATTTCCCAACCCTTCGCAGACATCCTGTATAACTAAAGGAAACGTAAATAATCGAGGAAAAATTGCTACAGTAAACACTAAGAACGAAAAAAATATGCCTAAGGGTAAAACTCAAGCAACAAAGAAGTCAAAACATATCAATAAGCCTCAGCGAGCGAGGATAGAATAGCACTTAAAGAATTAGCGTGTATATTACAGCTTATTGCATGCAATGTCGAATTGATCCTAAGCTGGTATCCCATCTTCTCTAACTGAAAAAAGCTGATGATCGCAACGTTTCTGGACGAACATTAAAATCAATTTAAAATAGGAGATCTGCGCAATCAATAAAACTCTAAACGACCTTGTAAAGAGTTTATACCGAACTCTTGATACTTATCAAATCCAAGCAATTTGTGTTAAGCTTACCACGTAAAAGATTGTTACTGATACCCTTTCAGTAAAACCTATCTCAATCTTTAAATACATTTATGACAGGAAATGACGTCTGTTCTTCTTTAGCATCTACTTTTTGTATATGTAAGAATGCTTCCAATCGAATTGGCAATTCTAACCCAGACATAACAGATGCAAAATATATGTTTTCAAAGCTTTATCACTCGTGAGCAATCTGCAATTCTTCACAATGAATCCGTACGTTCTTGCATCTTCATTCAGCTTGGGGTGTATAAGCTGATTCTTGTGTGAAACCATACACCAACACCATTTCTAGTTAACAAGTGAATTAAGCTTATTGAAAACGCACCACCTACTTAAGGTATCAAGATTTTTACTTATAAGCGGCTTCATGCAACATATAAATAGATTTCAGATCATTAAGTGAGATTTTGGAAGGAGAGAAAAATAAAGGTACTAGGTATACCGTATACTTTATAAATCGGAAACCATTATAGTAAACATGACATTTATTCATTAGCTAGGACTGCATAAATCATAAGAAATGCGGAAGACATTCAAAGAGGACAACTTTCTTAAAATATTGCAATGATGTTTTTTGTCAGATGCTTTCGAGAATTTGCTATAGATTGCGTGATGTCAAACAGCCATTGCTATTTTGTCACTCACCAGTGGCGACGCGTGACTTTTCCTAAACTGTTACCAAAAAAAGTTTATTTTGAACCTCACAAATATAAGTTTTTGCTCATTTTAGGTATTTTATTTAAACTATTTTTAAATTAAGGTAAACATTCTTGGACTGAGCGTCGGGGCACTTGATATACCTCATCGTCTTATGCTATGACTAATCCAAGCCGTCCGAGAAAACAGTCGACGTTTCTAGATGTTCGGAAAATTTCTGATCTTTTTTGGCAATGAATGTTAAGAATTCCCTGTAATTTCCTCTATTGTCAGAGTCATCTACTTCAAAATGAACGGTAATTCCTGTTTTGCCAAAAAACATACGGTATCTAGAAGTGTGCTGCCTAAAAGCTTGGTTAAGACAACTTTCGATTCATGTTTTGCCAAACTGAATTAAATTGGCTCACATCTCACATGTAACGGAGAAATTTCATGTCTCCTCTTTAGAGCCCTAAGGGCCGATTTCACCAACATTAATATTATGGACCAATGGGAAAATACCTTATCGAAATGCAATTTGACAGAAGCTGTCAAATGTCTCTGAATATTAGCGATTTCTATTGAAATATTGAATAAAGTCGTGAAAATTCGACTGTATTATAAACAAGATCACTTTTTGATTCCAACATGATGCTTTTGTACAGAAAAAACAGGACAACTTTCATGTATTTTGATATATCTTATAGGTTTACATTTAATAATCCGTTATCCCCCTCAGCGAATGGGAATGCGGCAAATAATAGGTCGATTTTCTAGCTGTTAAATTTGGCAGCAGATTTGGACGTTTGTTAATGCATGGCACTCTCGAATTTACCACCTTCAATATACTGAAAGTTATCATTACATACCTGTTGAATAGTGCAGATTTGTCTGTATTTTGCAAGAAAATAGAATATAAAATACATTCCATCCAATTCCTCCTCTTCCTTTACGTCATAATAGTAATCATTTATTAATTAATGGGTTAATGAATTCCTTCAAAGCAATAAAAACATTATGTCCTCTCCATCCCAAAACACAGATAATATTGTAGGACGTGTCAATCCCTACATCTCCCTGATGCATAATGCAATTACTATGGACATAGACACAAAATTATGAAAAATGTTTCACAAATAATGGCTTTTCAGTCCAAAAATCAAAAAAACTAGTAATGTTTATTGTTTGTCTATTTTTTTTTTGACTGGCGGGGATATCCATCTGTCACTTGCAGGGTTGCCAAGTCTAACGACGATCACGTACCGTGGTGGACGGTGCGAAATGATCCTTTTACATTTGCTGGTTTTGAATTTTTTTCGTGAAAATTTACTAAGTATCATGATTATAAGCATCTTTGGTAGATTGTTCGATCCGGAATGGGAAAGATCTCCTATTTATGAAAATATTTTTGGTATCATCTAACCGTTGCAATCAGTGCACAAACACTGTGACATATGATTTATAGCATAACCCGCTGCCATATCAATACAAATTTAACATACAGGTCGCCTAGCCGTGGAGATGCAGTGTTCGGGATGAATATCATGGCAGCAACTGATGATTTGGGCATGTCTGGTAAGAACGTAGGAAGTAAAACTCGCTAACTTCACAAATTTGAAGATTTTGTACAATTTCTTTGAAAATGATGAAAGATAATATGTCTGATTCGGCAGGGTAATGTCGCAGCCAAATGACAGTCACTCTTTCTGATACAGTCCGGATCGAAAGAAAAATATGGCAAATTTGTAGTTTTTTTGCAGGTTTTAGGTTTGCTGGTAGCTTTAAGGCATATATTTGGGAATTTCTTTATCGCTGTGAATATAGTGTGGATGTTTGTTCAGTTCCTCAACAACGAAAAATATCCAACTTTATGGATGTGTGGATATCAAAAAATCTGAATGGTTTTGTGGGAATATCAATCTAAGGTGCCATAATGGTTCTGATGAACGACAAGTAAATGAATGAATGTTTGGAAACGAGCAATCTCTTTTGGTAGAGCCTGTCATCAAGTAGGTGCTTAATGGCTAACTGTAAGAGGTTTATAGGAAGAAACACCCAGTATCACATATCAATTGAAGAAAATAATATAAACATGAATAAAAAATCAACAATAGTAATTAAAACATGAATTTAATTCAAACTTTTCTTTAAATTTTGACTGAATTATATGTAATTTCTTAATATTCAATAAGCTGGTGATGTTTCAATGACAAGTTGTCATCTCATACTTTGACAGTATTTTGTTTTCAAGATTTCATAGCTATTGGTTGCTAAAATTTGTTGATTGGAACTTGATGCTCATTCGCTGTATCTGACGGTCTGTTATCCTATAGATGGAGAATAACGGACTGTTGTTGGTGAAACTGGCCCTTAAACTATTTAAATCATTGACTTCGCTGCTGGTCCACCCATTTTTTTCTGTATAAAACAGAAGACATCGCCAACACCACATAACCAAGGGTTTCCATATACCAACTTAATTTAAAATATCTAACTAGGTTTTTTTTGTTCCTTTTAAAATCATCTAAAACAGGTGTTGGTCTTCCATTTTCAATGATCTGCTTCTTTCTTAAAAATTATACGAGGAGAATGACTTTTCAAGTAGTTGGTCGATTACGCAGCGACACTCGTCCATCTTTAATACGCACACTACAGCTGGTAACCAAAACGGCTACTGACGAGTGGGAAGTGAGTAACCAAATCAAAAAATGGTAACCATCCCACATAATAGTCACAGCGCCCTACGCACTCGGGCGGCCGCGATCAGACACGAGCCGGTACCGGCGGTCCCCGATGGAATACCAAGTGTATCCATAACTGAAAATGGTAACAACAAACAACCAAGTCGAGGCGAGACAGCTTCATCGTGTTCGCAAAACCTAGACACAAAGGGACACCATGGCGGCGCAACCGGTCGTCGCTACCAACAAAACATATAGAGCTCTATGGAGAGTATCTCACCTGGTGTCCGCTTGGTTGCGCAACCAGTTTGGCGGAGCGACCAACACTACGTGTGCTCGAAAGATTACTGGCAGCTCCGCCAAGCTGGTCGCACCACCACTACTTCGTATTGGGCTCTATGGTGTTTCACTCACTCGGCCGCCAGTCGCGCTGCTAACGACGCGATAATTCTGAATATGTCAACTCATTTGCTTTTTAATTTGCAAACGTGCATGATGGATAATTTCGATACTGAAAAATTTATTATTGATATTCAAAATAGACCATCAATTTGGGATAGTTCCTCAGCAGATTACTCTAATAGAGATTTGAAGAAGAAATGTTGGGAAGAAATTGTAGATTTATATGGAGGAGAGGGGCAAACAGTTGAACAAAAAAAAGACTTAGGTAAGTAAGGAATATTATATTTTTATTAATTAATACAATTATTTTGCCATGAAAGTGGGTTTTCATTTACAAAATAATTCATGAAGTTATCTCGAGTTGTGGTAGCAGCACGTCCTCCTCTAGTAAAACTTCGCTGTGTTATAGTTTCAAAACCGGTTACTGTCAGAGTATCATCATATGAATACCCATCTCTAGCACGCACAAAATTATGCAAGACACAACATGTTCTCACAATTGATTTTGCTAATTCGGTGTGGACATTCAATGATCTGTGGAAAATTCTCCATTTGTTGGTTAAAATTCCAAAAGTGCACTCGATGTAACGGCGCGCTCTCGACAGTCTGTAGTTGAAAATTTTTTTGTCGACGCTGAGGTTGTTTCCTCCAAATGGGCGCATGACATTTGTGCTCAACCCGAATGCTTCGTCGCCTACAAATACGTAAGGAAAAAGCGTTGTGCTATTTTCCGAAATTTGAAGGGGCTCTGGAATATTTAAAGTATTGCTCATGAGCTTCTTATAAAAGTCAGTTTCTTGGAATATTGCTGAATCACTACTTTTCCCATAGGCACCTACGTCTATGTACATAAAATTATAATTAGCGTCACATACAGCAAGCAGCACTATTGAAAAAAAGTGTTTATAGTTATAATATAATGAACCAGAATCAGCAGGTTGAATCAGTCTAATGTGCTTCCCATCGATACTACCCAGGCAGTGTGGAAAGTTCGCATGCTTTTCGAAACCATCTGCTGTTTTGATCGAGTCACTTGCAGAGGCTGGAAGTGATACACATGTTTGCAACTTATCCCAAATCACGGCACACACTTCTCTAATTATTGTGCTTAAAGTTGTTTGTCCTAGACGATAATTGTAATGCAATTCCCTCATTGTACATCCACTAGCGAAGTACCTGTAATTCAAAGAAATATATGTTTTATATAATATATAAATATATGTTTTTTTATTAATAAATAATTGATTGGTACTAAAATAAATCCCAAGAAAAAACACACCATAAGTTAAATTCAGAGAAATACTAACTACTAATCATTTCTTTTCAGGTTTGTTGTTGCAAAAAAGGTGGAAAAGTATAAGATCATGCTATGCTCGGGAAGTCAAAAGACAAAAAAATTTAAAGTCTGGTTCTGGAGCCACTAACCGCAAAAGCGAATACATATACTTTAAGCAGTTGCAGTTTCTACAAAAAGTAGTAGCTATCAGAGAAAAAGAAGATGACGAAGAAGAAAATTCGGAGAGCACTGAAGTACGTGAGCGTCCTAAAGAAAAAGCTACCATCAAACGTAAACGGCAATTGGCTGAAGATGATGATCCCTTTGTACGAGCTCTAAATAATTCTATTGAGCAGAGACAACGTGAGACATCAGAGCAGATACTACGTGAAACAGCAGAGACCGATGAAGATCGATTATTTCTGCTATCATTGTTAAGCACACTAAAAAATCTGCCTGTTCAAGTTAAAATGGCTACCAAGATAAAGATGCTAACTTTGTTGAACGATGCGTCAGATTATTCTGGTTACAGGACGTTTGATTATGCTGATCGTTCATTTCGGCATACTTCACAAGCTAATTCAGGTGGTAGACTGGTTAGTCAAGGTAACTATCATCCTGGTTCTTCGACGCAACCGCGCACCACGAATTATCCGACTGAAACTATTACAAATAGTCCTGGATATAATTCTATGAATACAATAATGTATATACGTACAAGTTCTCCAAGCGATACACCTGATTCACTGGACTCGGAACCATATATGGAACTATTTAACACTCAAAATTGTAGTAACTAACTCCAAAAAAATGTTCGTGAATTGTTTGTTCAGTTACATTCTTTAATAAAACTTACCTACTAAAAAAGTTCATTATTTGTTTTAACTTACCTTAATGTTACAAATAACTTTTCTTCGGGACTGACAGACTTTCTTAATATTGTATCTTGTTTCAATAAATCATATCTGCACAGAGTCAATAACTCGTCAAAGGACCTCATGGACATTCTGACATAGTTAAAAAACTTATCTGGATATCTTCTCAGATCTTCGTATATGTTGATAAATTGTCCCTTCTTAGGACGATCGGCTAAGTAAGGATGAATCCACCACTGTTTTCTTTTTCTTTTTAACTTTCTTTTCCTTCGTATATACAGCAACAGTGCTAACTCTTCGACGTTCATTTTGATACTGTGGCCGTAGTCGGTGTCTCGGGTTTGGTAGCTTCAAGACACCACGGTTGTGCGACTGGTTGCGCCGCCATGGTGTCCCGGTGAAATAGGGCCCTATAGGGCGCATTATTTTTGTACTGAATTACTATTACATATCGCTGTTGGTAAACAAATAAATGAAATTATTTCACAGTATTTAGTCATAAAATATTTATTTTTAAGATTTTTAACTGTTACCAATGATAACAATGGTTACATGGACGCTTCGCCACTGTCACTCACAATGCCGGCGTTTGGCTCATTTGAACACAGCAGTACTTGATGCGAATTTTTGGTCAGATTACAATCTTTCACATAATGAGTTTGTTAGATAATGTTCAGTGTAACGTAAAATTGTGAACTCATTTATGTTTTGTGTATACCGATACAGATTCCTTATTTTTTCTTGATTTGTTTTGACAATAGCCTTTTAAATATGGTTAATTTATGAGTGTCTTTGACAAAAATAACTAACGAAACTCTAAAGCTAAACAGTGACATGACGCTCCGGGTGGTGCCAGATTATTGGCCTATCTAAGAGGAGCGGATACACTTGTAAAATATATTCCATTTAGAAAAAGAAGATCTTTTCAAAACAATACGACTGAATGTCAAAGATTGTTAATTTATTTTAAAGATCCAGTATGACGTCTTCTAATTTAATTTTTTCCATGGAAAGAGCAAGAATGATGGAATATCTCGTCATCCACCCCCTCTTTCATTTCAATCCCGGTTTAAACCTCCTTTCCCAAGTTCAGTGATTTGTAGGTATTGCGCTGCCCTCACACAGGACGCGGGATCCCTGGACCCGAATAATTTTCAGTGTAATTTAAATTTTGAAACTCATTTTGTGGTTGAAGGCTGTTCGGATGAGCAGTCATCCGTAATTATGTAAATACGTAAGGGGGATTAAAGAAACAATATAGAAGGAGAATTACTTAGAACATCGTTCTGGCGTTGGCAGCTCATTACGACGTTTTGACTCCTAGCGGGCTTTTCCAAAGTTTAAAATGAACAAAGCTTGAATGGCCTTCGAAGTTGAAAACGATTTTGAATAGATGACATATGAGGTATAGCTATTCTATTTTCTAAAAGTGGTCCAATAACATCTGGCGATTCGGTTGGAAATAGTACATCGAATAGTGTTTTCAAATCTCATTTACGCCTCGGCAAAATAAACACCGGCGTGCATCATTCACATCAGGTGCTCATATTGACCAGAGGGTCATAAATGCCTCGTAAGACAACGACAAGTAAATAGAAGCGATGATGTTCATGTTTGTTTTGACGAGGAGTAGATGATGTTTCAATAAAGTACATTAGGATGGTGTATGGACGTTTCTGAATACAGCTGATATCTACTACATTCGTTGGAAGCGAAGTGCAAAGGGGGGTGTGATCGTTGCGAACGCAAAGAGCAAAAAGGGGAACATCGTCCTACTGATAGTGGAATATAGGCATGGTCTACATGTTGAAATCTGTGTCATGTTGTGGCCTGGCAATGGTGCAAATCTTTTGCACTCATCATTCATCCGATCAAAAGGGAATTGATTGTTGGAAATTCAAATTGTCTATAAATTCAAGTCGGTAAATTCCAATGATATCTATTTATTTTTATATTGCTAGCGTCAAGCACAACTATTTTTATACGTTATCCGGTGTCATTGCGCATCCAGCAAATAACAGATAATACGAGTGACGTCATCATAACGGGTTCCGTTTTCGCGGAAACTGTCACCGTCCCATTCACCAAACTTGACCTGCCGCATCGATAAGTATCAATCTTCCCGATCATTAATAATAGCAATCACTATTCAAATAGCATCGTCTGATAAAAAACAGCCCATTCAATAAAAATGTATCGCTTGTTTTCCTGATGCTGCTAACTTTAAGCTTGAGTCAAATCTGTCTAGCAGGTGAGGTTTGTACAAGGGATTAAATTGAGTCAAATTTAGAGATCAGAGAGATAATTGGAAGAAAGTGATCTGTTAACTTTTTTGAGCAAAAGAGATGCTGATATGGTTGGTGGAAATCTATTTCAACATGGACAACTACAGTTTTTAATTACAAGAAAAGTGATTGCTGGGAAAAAATCTCCGTTCCTGGACAGTCTTGTTCATTGTAATAAGTCGTCGACTTAAACCAGCAATTATCTCGTGTAAAATAAGCAATAACTCGAAAAACTATGTTCTTCTGCATTTATTCCCAATGATCCAGTAATTTTCTGGATATAGATTAGTTCCAGTTACCTAACGATTCCAGATGGTTTTCCAGAGGACCTACTGATTGTCTGCAAATGGCTTTACTCATACTGAACCATTTTTTACTCAATATCATCCAATTCCAATCTTCTTCGCTTACGAAGAACTCGGACGATGCGATCGTGGAGAATTGAAATGACTACCTGCCGATCCGTGCTATCCAATTTCAGCCATAAAAAGTAAAACACACACAGGCATTTCTTCGAATCTGACATCAGAGACAATACAAATAAAACTTTCATAGATTCATAGAAGCAAAACTCTGTTCTTCTACATTTATTCCAAATGATAAAGTAATTTTCTGGAGACAGATTGGTTCCAGTTACGTAACGATTCCAGACGATTTTCAGAGGACCTACAGATTATCTCCAAATGGCTTTACTCATACTGAACCATTTTTACTCAATATCATGCAAATCCAATCTTTTTCGCTTGCGAAGAACTCGGACGATGCGATCGTGAATAATTGAAATAAATACCTGCCGATCCGTGCTATCCAATTTGAGCCATAAAAAGTAAAACACACACAGGCATTTCTTCGAATCTGATAACAGAGAAAATACTAATAAAATTTTCATGTAGCCCAACTATTCGACATATTATCAGGTATCTCCTTATCTGCTTGAAATTGGGCTGAAACGGGAGTTTATCAGTCCGATAACCGTTGACACGACTCGGTGCCTACGAATAAATGTTTCTCAGACCCTTAAATCAACTGCCACTGTAACAAATTGTTGTCGCGCTGGATTCATAGAGGCGTTAGCATAAAACATTTTTGCCAAATAAATTGAATCGTTTAAAATCTGCCGTAGACTACGAACTGCTTACTGAATCCTTTGAAACCATATTCATCCTGACTATTACAACTCTGACGCAAAACACTATATTGTATACGTATAATATTGGACTTCCTAGTCCTTTACCGGCAATAAGAGCAGACGAACAAACAAGACAACCTAGTAGCTTCATTTTCAATTTCACTGCCTAATTTATATTCTGTCGGCGTCATTGTGTTTCGTCTCTAGAGATGAATCAACAGCATCCCCGTGCCTCGCAAACTAATTCTCAATTAACCCCTGTACTTCCACACTGATCGTATAAAACCTTCAAGAAGTTATATCTTGAGTTTGCAGTTTAACTCGCAAGTACATTACCAGAGTCGGCTTTGTTCTAACAACATAATCTCTAGGTAGGCTACTCAGGCCAAGTGGTTCGTATCTTGTTTAGAGAGCAGAATAAATCCAACTATTTGCGGCCAATACTATCTTTTTATTACAAGATCGTTCATTTTATATTATAGATATATCGAACTAGTACTCGTGAATATAAAATAACCGTTCAAATCTGATACAGTGTGTTACCATCAGCCGGACGTCATAGGTGCAAGTCATTCCAACTATGGCTTGATGATTTTTTTATATCGAAGTAGTCGCGCAGGCTGAAGCCTAAATGCCTAAGGTTAGTAGAACTGGGAAAAGCTTCCTCTTGTAGTTTGTTACACAATCTCGACACCCTCGGGACAAAGGAGCGGTCCTATCGGCGAGTTCTGGATGTACGAAGTTCGATACGGTAGGGATAGGACGCCTAAGTCAGGCGGGTCTGTCTGGCAGGCACATCGCGCGGCGGCATCATGGAGGAGAGCTCTGAGGAGCAAAGCCCGTTGGTGTAGCGATAGAAAAGGGCTAGATCGCCGACGGCCCGCCGGTGCTAAAGAGTTCCGATACTGTTTGTTAGAGAAGAGTCATCGACCAGTCGGACCACCCTCCTCTAGACAGCATCGAGCATGGATAAGTCTAGCCTAGCTTTTTCCCAGCAGCTGCAGCTATTGACGAGATGTGTGGCATGTACACATCTCGTCGATCAGGTCCTCGGTGATCTGGATTCCGATCAGCCGAAATGAATGGCTCTTTGGCAGAACTCGGCCGTCCATCGAAATTGGATGAGCGCTAGGACGCTTTTTGTTCGTCAAAGTACAGTACTGTGTTTTGGAAGCATTGAACTGTATAAGAGTGTTGCGTCCCCAAGCAGTGATAACCTCCAGGTCTCTTGTCAGATAGCAAGTTGTCGTTAGTCTTCTTTTTTCCAGCTCAGCCGCAGAGATGGGCTTGTTACTCTGAATGCCTGCATCTAGAGCGCTGTCATCAGCGAAGCTGTGGATTGGGTTGATCGTGCAGGAAAGGAGGTCGTTGATATGTAACAGAAACAGTGTTGGAGCCAAGACCGATCCCTGGGGAACACCCGCGTTGACGTTGTGGGATGAAGAGGAGAACCCGTCAATTACGACGGAAATCTTGCGGCCAGAGATAAAGTCAGCCACCCATCTGCAAAGATTTTCTGGGAGGCCATAGGATGGAAGTTTGCTTAAGAGGGCAGCGTGCCACAGCTGATTGAACGCTTTCGTGATGTCAAGAGCAACGACATGAGCCTCACAATAAGACTGGATGAGGTTACTCC